GACATGGCCTCCTAAGATGCATGAAAGAATCCAAGAGTTTCAGGATTAAAAGAACCAAGCCAGCACCTGAGCACTCATCCAGCTTCCCATACACAGAGAAGAAATTCTGGATTCCTCTTCTGCCATGTCAATCTGCATAAAGTTTCACCTACTTAATCTAATGACAACAGCCCTTTCCACCAGCACACAGGCTCCATCTCAGAATCCACTGAGGTTCAAGAACTGCACAGCCAACTCTTGATGAGATCAGGTGAATTGCTCGCTGATCTTCCGGCAAGAAGTCTGCTGGTATTTACAGCTCAGCAAACAGGAAGAGGGGAGAGAGCACCGTCCACTAGCAGAGGAGAACTCATCTCATGCTACCTGGCCTGATATTCTGTTCACACTCCCGTTGTCTCCAGAGAGCAAGGTGCATCTACTTTATAAACATGGAGACACAAGTGGAGAGGGATGCAAAAACAGCCAATGGAGGGACTGTAGAAACAATGAACCAATGGTATAGAAGTGTAGCTCTCAGTGGACCGCTACCTCCACGAGAGGCCTTTGGGCAAGGCTAGGAAACGCCCTTTCAGATGTCAGTACTTTCACAAAGTAATGATTGCAAGTTGCCACCTCCCTTTCTGCTAATGCCTGCCACTTACTAGATGCTGAAAGCACACAGGCTTGAACCTGCCAGCCAATGGTCTGAACACCCATTTGTAAAGTCAAGGTCAGCTGGCAGGAGGAAGCCACCATCTTTTGGGCAGCAGATGACCTTTCAAAACCACCACCTTCCCTGACAGAGTAGTATCCTAAACCCTCACTTGTAAGGGTTGGGATATTTGTTTGAGTAGTGATATCCTCAATAGCGAAATCCTTAAACTTGTTTAAAAATTGCCCTGCACAGGTACTCCAGAAATGAATGTATATCTGAAATGTTCCATTTTACTCTGTCTATACAGGTGACGTCTTCTAGCTAGCAAGTCAGGTCTTTCTGCAAACTTCAAACTCTATTACTAAAACACAAAATAAAAATCTGATGGTCCAGAGAATATGAACTAAGCACCCTAGTAAACTCAGCACCTTGAATCAAAGCAAAGTATAATGTTCAGAACAACTCCAGGGGTCATTTTATATTACCAGGTCCAAGCATTTGTCACTTAATGTTGGAACTGGGAAGTCAGTTAAAATGATATTCTATTGATTCTATGCTTCATAAACTATAATTCTAAGATAGTTTACATAAGGGTTCAGAAATTCAGTAAAATTTATACTCTATTTAAAATTTTTATTAGTCTGTGTAAAAGCATCACTGCTTATCAGAAAAATGATAAGGTTCTATCACAGGTAAAATGTTATGTAGCAAAAAGGAGGCACTGGTTACGCACAGGCCAAGTGAAACTGTATTTGCACTATCTCAATCACTGTTGACTTTTCAGAAGTGAAACACTTTGTACTGCATGACAGAGATCTTCCAAACACTAATTCACAAGCACGCACACTAAAGAGAAAAAATGGAGGTTAGGGAAGCACTGGCAAAATAATTCAGTGGATAAAGGCACTTGTCATGCAGGCAACTTGAGTTTGATCTCTGGACCCATGTAAAGGTAGAAGGAAAACGTGGGCTTCACAAAGTTGCCTTCTACACATGCACACATACACAATAAAACTTCAGAAGATTTTAAAGATTTGAAAATCAGGCTTCTGAAAATGATGTACGTTTTCCCCTTATGACATGTATTGAGCAGAAAAATTCCAAAGGTCAGTCTTTGTAATGCTCCTAAGCTGACGAGGGCAGTAACACTTTGTTCTAAGCGCATCTGCTGCCCGTCCTTAATGGCTGCACTCAGCTACTACAGGCACACACTCCTATTCCTCCTCCCAATCAGCACACCACAACCTGGATGAGAACACAAGCTGGGGGAAGTGGCTCCCATCTCTTCTGAAAATGCTGATGACAAAGGATGTGATAATATCTGAATATCAATATTCTTCCTCCCAAGCCAAGGAACTGTGCTTCCAGGCCCCACCCCTACTAGAAGTCACTGGCTTCCCACAGGGTGTCACCTACAGAGGACTCTGTAACCATCCAATCTCATCTGCCTAGGTGGACTAACTTACACATATGGCCTGATAGGCTTGTCACCAATCACACTGCACAGGGAGACAGGAAATTGCTTTCTGTAAATGCTACCAAGGCTTTCTTGCCTGGCCCCACCCAGAGAGGACAATCTTCCTGGCTACAAACGACTCTCACTCAAGTGGTGATCTCAAAACCCATCTCTGGAAGTGAGGACTCCAAAGAATCTGTCACTGGATACAGTGACACCAATCTCACATTTTGTGGTCAATAAAACAAGTCCTGCATCCAGTTTGGCACAGGGCCCTGATCTGACTTATTTTAGGCCAAGCTCATAGGAAAAACTACCATTCATGAATGTTTCAGGAGGACAGTTCAGTCGGGTCTTTTGTGCAAAACTGACATAGACAGAAACCTTTCTGAGCAAACCTAGCGTATTTCCTAAAGAGATTTGGTACATTTTGTGCTTAAAAGGAACAAAAGTCAATCACAAAAATCTCAGTTTCGATAAGCAGTTTTCACAGAAAAGGTGCTCGTGGAGGTGAGGAAAGGGAGAAATGCAGGAAATGAGAAAAATGATCTGATTTCTGATTTAACCCAATCAAACATCGGACACTCCACTGCCCCCAAGTGCAACCCAATATAAGACATGCAGGACTTTCCTCAGAAAGTCTACAGTCTCCCTTTAAGATTTCCTGCCCGAGGACTTAATCAGGAATTTCCATTCTAAAGTGGCACACAGATCTCCTCAGAGAGCTCAGCTTTCTTTGAATAAAAAAGGCAAGTTACCCTTTAGGGGACTCAGCACATATTTTTAAACTTCTTATTAAATCAACCTAATTTATGGGGCATGTTCAAGAAAAGCAGGTAGCAAGCTGCTTAGGTGGATGCAAAGTTACTTGCCATCTTTCCCACCTCCCCACCACCACCTCGTTTGCCCTCCCCTCTCCGAGGGTTTCCGAATGTCTTCGGGGCCCCTTCCGAAGCCGAAGCCACTCGGCCCTCTCCGTCTGGACCCCGACTGGGTTCCGAACACTGTCGAGATCCTCCGAGCCCCGCGCCCAGACCAGGCCGAGCGGAGCCGAGCGCCGCCGAGCTCAACCCCATCGACATTTCCAGCCTCGGCTGGGCGCTGTCCACCACTTGCAACGCCTGAAACCTCACCCCAGCTCTGGAGGCCGAGGCTTCTACCAGACTCTCAGTCTGCCACAGCGGATTAGACTTGTGAAGTTTTGAGACCTGCCTCTAAGGAGAAAGAGGTGGCGCGGTTTGCCATTTCCCGACCCGCGTGTGCTCCAGGCAGATGCAACATGCACCTTGTTGCAAAAAGCAATTCCCCAGGCCCCGCCTCCCCATCCATTTGGACTGCACAAGCCCCAGAGAAACCCCAGGCCAAATTACTGGTGGCTCAGAAGGGTGAGGCTAGCCGAAGGGGCCTGTGAGAAGAAAGCCCCTGGGAACTCTCGAACGCAAATAAGAACATGCCAAGCAGATGGGGAAAACTGTCTCCTAGTCGCTACTCCCTACCATCATGGCGCCGCCTGGAACTCGCTTGTCATGCCTGTTACACATGCAAGAATTTTTGCTTCTTGGTTTCGAAACCGCAAGCACAATTTGTCTCCCACCCACCTTCCCTTAAAAGGGGTTTTTATTTTCCATTGTTTTCCTACGGGATGCAATTACTTCGACTATTCTGTCAAGTTGAAAAATAATCATTTTTGTTTACTGCACAGCAACCTCTAATTAGGAGCTGTGTGTGCACGAAGGTGTCACAGCAAAGCGACATGGAATCCTCGCTAAACGGTCCTAACGAACTCCTCCGTCCTGAACTGACAGGCCAACGGAAGCAGGGCCAGGAGGTCCGGAAGGCATGCACCCGTTCCCTGCCGGCCACCCCTACCCAGGCAAAGCTGCCTGTAGGCTTACTAGGAGCTGTGAAGCGGATGGGACAAGAAGCAAGCCAGTGAGAGGGAAGGAGGGGTGAGGCTCATTACTGGGGAAATGTGGAAAGGAAGGAATATCCCATTTTGTTTTAATTTTCAACCATCACTCAAATCCACCTCCAGTCAATTAGGAGGGGAAACTGATATCTAAGGCAGAAGGGGGCGTTGGCAAGTGGGGCCTGAAATCCGCATTAAAGGTAGGCTACAGGCAGCCCGGCCTAAGCGAGTGTAAATAAATATAACGAAGAACGACAAAGGCTACACAGTGACAGGAAACTGCTGGTGTCAGGAGAGCAAAGGCTGGAGGGCCAGGGAGCAGAGGGGTTGGAGGGCAGGCGAGGCTTCAGTCCCACAGACAGCATCCCCCCATCCACCTCTGCTTTGGATAAAGCTGTGTCTGTCACATCCGCTTGGAAACCCACCCTTTTCCCCCTAGTGCACGCCCCCTCCCCTAACCCTTGCTCTCGTTTGGGGGGAGGGGGCCGAAGTCACAGCCTCCAGGAATTCAGCACCAAACTCATGAACAGCAAACACTTGCTCTTCTACCTCAATCTGCTAGGGCTGGGTCCCCTCCATGTTTTAGTCAAGTTCAAAAATCACTGCCCCAAGAGAAGTGGGATTCGAGGGGTTGGGTGGAGGGAGGAGTAATGGAAGGAGCCCGAGACAGAAATGGAAGCAGCGAAACACACGAAATACTCCACGAGCAAGAGTTATGATCATAATCACGCCAATAGTGTGATGTTCTGATCAATATGGCGGACACTGTCATTCATACAACTACAGGCGCTCCCTTTCCCTCCCCCCAAACACCCACTCCAGGAGTTGGGGTGGGGGACCCAGAACCAACGTAGGGAGTGGGGGAGGGGAGGCAAAACCAGGTCTCTGTGTGCACGAATTAAAAACCAGGCCTGGAGAGCAATGTGGGTGAGCAAGACAATAAAAACGGTATGAAAATTATTCTTAATAAAAGTACAAATCCCAATGCCAGAGGGACTTACTTCATTTGCTTCACAATGGTGCTTTTTCCTGATTCTCCAGCCCCTGTTGGGACACAGAGAGGGGGGGAAAACTGGTGAGTGTCAGCTCAGAGGAATGGGAAGGGGTTTCAAAGCATGCGAGGGGTGGGCGCTCCTGGGCACACAGTGGTGCCAACTCCGGGACCAGGTCTCCCGTGGCGCAAGTCGGGTGGGGAAACAGCGGCCGGGGTCGAGGAGCGGGGGTGGCTACCGAGGTCCTTACCCAGCAGGAGTAATTTCACGTCTTTGGCGGCGCTGATGCCATCTTCTTTGAGGTTTTTCTCAATCGCCTTGCTCCGCTCGAGGGCGGCTCTCTCCTCTGCGCTCAGAGTACATCCCATGGTGGCCCCTTCCCTGCCACAGCCCGCACGACTCGGCTGGCACGACTCCCCGGGTCGGCGCGCCCCCCACCCCCCCAAAGAGCAGAGCCTGGGCTCAAAGGGGAGAAAATCACGATATCCTCTCCTTGGCTGGGAACAAAATTGTTGAAAGACCAGAACCCCCCAAAAAAGACAGCCTCTATCAAGATTCCAGCGGCGAAGACAAGCGGCAGCTGGTCGGGGTCTGGGGGTGTCGAGGTGAGGGTGGCCGGGGTTTGGGGCTCCGGAGCCGAGGGAGGAGGCGCCCGCGGGCCCGGGAGGCGCGGGCTGCAGGCACTGAGGCTAGTGCACGACCCAAAATAAATAAAATAGGAGTCGAGGCTGGATCCGCAGCCGGAGCCGGCGGAGGGTGGGGTGGGGGGCAGGGTGGGTCCTTCTGCCGCGGCTGCCGGAGGCGGAGGAGGAGGAGGCGGAGGCGGAGAAGGTGGAGGCGGCGGCGGCGCGGGGTGTGGAGGGAGTGAGTTAGGGGGTGCCGCTAGTGCATGTGCACCGCCGCTCCTCGGCCGTCGGTGCGTCCGCGGCGCCTTCTCCGACCCCCGCGCGCGGGGCAAGGCTGGGAAGAGGGTCGGGCGGGGGGGGGGGCAGATCTCTAGCGGGAGGCGGCGTCGCCGGGGCCCAGAGCTCGCATCGTTTGGCGGAGAGCGGCCAGGAGACGGGGAGAGCGCGAGGGAGCCGCGGCCAGCGGGGAGCGCGAGAAG